TCCGGGGAGAGCGGATATAGTGAATGCGGGGTCCGGGGGAGAGCGGATATAGTGAATGCGGGGTCCGGGGAGAGCGGATATAGTGAATGCGGGGTCCGGGGGAGAGCGGATATAGTGAATGCGGGGTCCGGGGAGAGCGGATATAGTGAATGCGGGGTCCGGGGAGAGCGGATATAGTGAATGCGGGGTCCGGGGAGAGCGGATATAGTGAATGCGGGGTCCGGGGAGAGCGGATATAGTGAATGCAGGGTCCAGGGAGAGCGGATATAGTGAATGCAGGGTCCAGGGAGAGCGGATATAGTGAATGCAGGGTTCTGGGTTTAGTAACGCTTAGTACCGGCGAATCAAGACGGCCAAAGACTGGCACCCAGAAGCCGCCAGGGAGATGACAGTGGCACCAGGGATGGACCTCGTGGGTACCAGACTGTTGCAGCATAGAGAGTGTGCTGGGATGACTACACTCCTGCGTATGAACAAGAGTAGTTTCATCCCACGTTGGCCAAGCAAGAAAGGTGAAGACCAGCACCCAGAAGAATCCAGGAAAAAGACGCCGGCAAGGAACCTCGTGGGAGTTGGACCCATTGGAGCATAAGGAGCATGCCGGGAATACTACGCTCCGGCGCATGTGCAGAGTGAGGTCATCCCATACTCGCCAAATATGAAAGCTGAAGACCAGCACCCAGAAGAAGCTAGGAAGAAGATGTTGGCGTTGGTAAGGAACCACATGGGTGTTGGAGCGTAGGGAGTGTGCTGGGATAACTACACTCCTGCACATGCACAGGAGTAATGTCATCCCACACTGGCGACAAGGAAGCCAAAGATCAGTGCCCAGAGGAAGCCAGGGAGAAGATGTTGGTGCACCAGCGAGGAACCGTATGGGTGTCAGGCTGTTGGAGCATAGGGAGTGTGCAAAGATGACTACACTCCTGCACATGTGTGCGAGTGATGTTCTGCTACACTGACGAAGCAAGAAAGCCAAAGACCAGCATCCAGAGGAAGCTAGGAAGAAGATGCCATTGAGAAACCATATGGGCATGGGACCATTGAAGTAAGGAGTGTTCTGGGATGACTACGCTCCTGTGTATGTGCAGGAGTGGTGTCATCCCATGCTGGCAAAGCAAGAAAGCTGAAGAATAGCACCCAGAAGAAGCCAGGTAGAAGATGTTGGTACCTGTCAGGAACCACATTAGTGTTGGACCGGTGGAGCACAAGGAGTGTGCTGGAATGACTATATTCTTGCGCATGCACAGCAGTGATGTCATCTAATGCCAGCCAAGCAAGAAAGCCAAAATCCAACATCCAGAAGACGCCAGGGAGAACTTACCTACACCAGTGAAGAACCACATGGCTGTCAAAGCATTGGAGCATAGGGAAGGATGCTGGGATTATTATTATTATACAGGATTTATGGCGCCAACAGTTTGCTCAGCGCTTTACAATATAACGGCAGACAATACAGTTACAATACATTTCAGTACAGAAGGAATAGGAGGGCCCGGCTCGTGGAGTTTACAATATAGATCAGTGGTTTCTTAACCTGGGTTCGATCGAACCCAGGGGTTCGGTGAGTCAGTCTTGCGGGTTCGGCGGAGGTGAAGACCCACACCCGACTCATATGATTCGTGATGACATGCCCCGCTTGTCCATCATTGGCTGCAGGTGGTCACGCAACATCGCTTAGCCCAGTGGTCGGCAAGCCGCGGCTCGCGAGCCACATGCGGCTCTTTACACGCTTTAATGCGGCTCTTGTGTGCCGGGCGCCCGCTCCCCTCCTCCTCTCGGGCGGCAGGGACCCTGCAGCGTGATCCAAAAAAAAAAAACAATCAGGGCGGCTCGCTCAAACGCTGCCACTCACATCCTGATAGCCAGTGATTGGCTGTCAGGATGTGTGTAGGCGGGGCAGCGTGACGAACGTGAGAGGAGCTAGGCTCCTCTCACAGTCCGCCCTGAAGACCGGAACGGCGCGGGAATACGGCGAGAGGAACGCGCGGAGCAAAGGTAAGTGAATTGACACAGGGGGGACTTGGCTTACTACTTGCTACTTACTTACTACTACTATATAAGGGATGAATTAATATGGGGGATGAATTACTATAGGGGGGATGAATTACTATAGGGGGGATGAATTACTATAGGGGGGATGAATTACTATATGGGGGATGAATTACTATGGGGGATGAATTACTATATGGGGGATGAATTACTATGGGGGATGAATTACTATATGGGGGATGAATTACTATGGGGGATGAATAATTACTATATGGGGGATGAATTACTATGGGGGATGAATTACTATATGGGGGATGAATTACTATATGGGGGATGAATTACTATGGGGGATGAATTACTATGGGAGATGAATTACTATATGGGGGATGAAATTACTATATGGGGGATGAATTACTATATGGGGGATGAATTACTATATGGGGGATGAATTACTATGGGGGATGAATTACTATGGGGGATGAATTACTATATGGGGGTGAATTACTATAGGGGGGATGAATTACTATGGGGGATGAATTACTATAGGGGGGATGAATTACTATATGGGGGATGAATTACTATATGGGGGATGAATTACTATATGGGGGATGAATTACTATGGGGGATGAATTACTATAGGGGGGATGAATTACTATAGGGGGGATGAATTACTATATGGGGGATGAATTACTATGGGGGATGAATTACTATAGGGGGGATGAATTACTATATGGGGGATGGATTACTATAAAACAGTGGTTCTTAACCTGGGTTCGATCGAACCCAGGGGTTCAGTGAGTCAGTCTCGCGGGTTCGGGGGAGGTGAAGACCCCACACCCGACTCATATGATTTGTGCAGTAAATATTCATTATTATGTTTTTGTTTTTGTGTGAAAAATCATGTTTTAATGGTTTTGTTCTTAACGGTTTTGTTCATTTTGTGCACCTATGTATAAATATATACCTATGTTTTGAATTTTAAAAATCATATTTTATTTTTCCAATTAAGAAGGGTTCGGTGAATGCGCATATGAAACTGGTGGGGTTCTGTACCTCCAACAAGGTTAAGAACCACTGATATAGATCCTAGATTGTATGCTCAAAAGAGCAGGGTCCTCGAACCCCTCGTGTATTGTATTGTTTCTGTCTTGTCTCATGTTCTGTCCCCCTTGCTATTGTACAGTGCTGAGCAAACCCTTTGGCGCTATATAAATACTGTATAATAATAATCTAAAGGAAGGGGGAGGTGATACAAAAGGTGATAGCTGCGGGGGATGATCTGGCGGAGGTGATTCAAGTAGAGTTCTTAGGTGGAGGTGGGGTAGGCTTACCTGAAGAAGTGAGTTTTCAAAGATCGCCTAAAGCAGACAGGGTGGGGTCTGACCGGACATGCTGTGGTAGGGAGTTCCAGAGGATGGGGGAGGCTCTGGAGAAGTCCTGGAGGCGAGCGTGGGAGGAGGTGATGAGGGAGCTAGAGAGGAAGATATCATGGGAGGAGCGGAGTGGGCGATTTGGGCGGTATCTGTGGATGAGGTTGGTGATGTAGCTAGGGGCAGTGTTGTGGATGGCTTTGTAAGCTGTGGTTAGTATTTTGAATTTTATACATTGGGTTAGTGGAAGCCAGTGGGGGGATTGGCAGAGAGGGGCAGCAGTCGTTGATCGGTTGGTAAGGTGTATGAGTCTAGCAGCAGCATTCATAATAGACCGAAGGGGGGATAGCCTGTGTAACAGTAGACCAGTGAGGAGGGAGTTGCAGGAATCGAGGCGGGATATAACCAAGGCGTGGATTAGTTGTTTTGTGGTGTCATTGGTCAGGAAGGGGTGGATTTTGGAAACGTTCCGGAGGTTTAGGGGGCAGAATTTAGCCAGTGAGTGGATGTGGGGGCCCAAAGGAGAGGTCAGAGTCTAGGAGTACGCCTAGCATCCTGGCATGAGGGGAAGGACCAGTGGTTGTGCTGTTGATCTTAATGGTAAAAGTCGTGAGTGGGGGATTAGGGGGAGGAAATATTACAGCTCAGTTTTTGAAAGACTGAGTTTAACGTAGTGATGTGACATCCATGCTGATATGTCGCTTAGTAGGTTTGTGATATGCGAGGAGATTGAGGGGTGAGTGGAGAGATAGATCTGGGTGTCATCAGCATAGAGGTGGTATTGGAAGCCATGGGAGGTCATCAGTTGGCCCAGGGAGGAGGTATAGAGAGAGAAAAGGAGGGGCCCAAGGACAGAACCTTGGGGTACCCCAACAGGAAGGAGAAGAGGAGCGGAGGAGGAGGAGTTGTATGTGACACTGAAAGTGCACTGAGAAAGGTAAGATGGAGAACCAGGAGAGAGCGGAGTCACGGAGGCCTATTGGAGTGGAGTTTACTGAGGAGGAGCGGGTGGTCGACTGTGTCAAATGCAGCGGAAAGGTCAAGGAGTATGAGTATGGAGTAATGGTCGTTGGTTTTAGCAGTTAGTAGGGATGACTACGCTTCTGCGCATGTGTGGGAGCGATGTCATCCCGCGCTGACCAAGCAAGAAATCTAAAGACCAGCACCCAGAGAAAGCCAGGGAGAAGATGTTGGCAACAGCCAAAAACTAAATGGGAATCAGACCTTTGGAGCATAGGGAGTGTGCCAGGATGATTACACTCTTGCACATGCACAGGAATGGCGTCACCCTGCACTGGCCAAGCAAGAAAGCTGAAGACCAGCAGCCATAAGAAGCCAGGGAAAAGATGTTGGTGCCAGTGAAGAACCACGTGGGTGTCGGACCATTGGAGCATAGGGACTGTGCTGAGATGACTACTACACTCCTTCGCATGCAAGGGAGTGATGTCGTCCCATGCTGGCTAAGCATGAAAGCCAAAGACCAGCGCCCAGAAGATGCCAACATGGGACCTGGCTGACGTCGATCATGGGCGCATAGGTGAGTATTCGTGCTTTTAGTACCACTTTAAGAATATAGAACGACATCCACTTCCCTTCGCTGTTTCTGTCCCCATTAAATGGATGATTCCTTGAACCGTCGTCTATTTCCGCGGGTCGTATTTGTAGAATTATTAATAATCTGTAAAGAGCTTTTTGTTTTATGTGACTCCTCTGGTTTGGAATGCACACACACAATGTCCTCTTCCTTCAAGCCGCACGCCCCCCCCCCTTTTTTTTTTGGCCGCTTCCCAAGATCGGCGCTGGTAACAAGGCAATTATAGGACAGCCAATGAAATTATCCAGGCGGGTGTCCTAACCCCGTGTACATGTAGCCAGGAGAGTCGTGCCGCGCGGTGCTGGGCCGCATTAACCATCTGCTGCAAATAATAATTTGTCAAACTGTAGCGGGTCTGCCAGGCTTGCTGTACTTTGCCTGTTCTAGGTGGACTCCGGTCAGCCGTGTCGTGGAGATACATGCAGAGGACACGGCCTAATTTAATAGGACTTATGGTGAACGTTGTTGCCTGATCCCACAAAGGAGCGTGTGCTTGTGATAGGAGAGCCAGCCAGGGCTACTTACCTTCTACTTACCTCCCTGTCCATGTTAGTGACTTAAAGGGTGCTTCCACCCAGTTGGGTGTTGGCATGACAATGAGGTCAGCCAAACTGCTTCCCCCAAGGACCCCAGAATGGTCACTGAAGCCTCACATAATATGTAAATCTGACCTCCAGCCTTCCTTCAGTCTCCCCTCCTGGACTGAAATGGCTTACTCTGGTTTCACTGCACACTGTGAGCTTCTCACAATGCACTAGAAGCTGCTCAAGTCAGAGACCCTGGCTGAAGGACCTCCATAACCATATAACCATTTCCTCCGCAGCCTGATTGTCCCTGGCCAGTCCCTTTCATTCACGGCATCAGGGCTGAGGAGTACTGAGGCAGGGTGCTGTGATGTTTTCAAGATGCTATGTACAACACTCTGCTGACCCTTCCCACCAGCCATGAACCGCCTGCATTGCATAGAGTAACACAGAGATCCAGTGTTGATTCATTATAAGATATGTAATAAAGACTGGGAGGTTTAATTAAAAAAATGAAATTAGCATGTTAATGAGGGGGGAGGAACCATGGAAGGCAAAAAAACAGAAACAAATGTCCACTTTAATTATATTCCAATGGTTTCAATCTCCCTAAAGTGTTACCCACAACAGTACAATCAGTCTGTAGATGCAGGAAAGCGTGCTGGTTATACTCACTGTGGAACCTAAGGGGTTAATCCTCCATATTGTGCAATAAGGATGTTTGATCCTGATTTCTCTGTTCTTCCCCTTCTTCTATTGTCCCAATCCATCTGCTCTAGGAGTCACTCTCACACTGTGTATTGCATGAGTTTTTTTTTTTTTTTTTTTTATTGGGAGAATGCATGTGATCAGCACAGGGCCAATGGCTCTGTCCAGACAGAGGGTCAGGGGTTATGCAGCCTCATAGGACAGTCAGAGGAGAATGAAAACTCTTCCTACAAGTTTTAACCAGTGCTCTGCTGGACACTGATAGAAGTCACAAGACTGCTATATATGCTGCTGATGAAAAAAGGTATTTAACAGTTTATTTTTACTAAAATAATTGCATTACCATGTTCTGTGCACTGTGGGATGCCAGATATAGTGAATGCAGGGTCCGGGGAGAGGGATGAGCGGTGAGGATATAGTGAATGCAGGGTCCAGGGAGACCAGATATAGTGAATGCAGGGTCCGGGGAGAGCGGATATAGTGAATGCAGGGTCCGGGGAGAGAGCGAATATAGTGAATGCAGAGTCCGGGGAGACCAGATATAGTGAATGCAGGGTCCAGGGAGACCGGATATAGTGAATGCGGGGTCCGGGGGAGAGCGGATATAGTGAATGCAGGGTCCGGGGAGAGAAGATATAGTGAATGCGGGGTCCGGGGGAGAGCGGATATAGTGAATGCGGGGTCCAGAGAGACCAGATATAGTGAATGCGGGGTCCGAGGAGAGCGGATATAGTGAATGCGGGGTCCGGGGAGAGTGGATATAGTAGTGAATGCGGGGTCCGGGGAGAGAAGATATAGTGAATGCAGAGTCCGGGGAGACCAGATATTGTGAATGCAGGGTCCAGGAGACCGGATATAGTGAATGCGGGGGGATATAGTGAATGCGGGGAGAGCGGATATAGTGAATGCAGGGTCCGGGGAGAGAAGATATAGTGAATGCGCGGGGTCCGGGGAGAGCGGATATAGTGAATGCGGGTCCAGAGAGACCAGATATAGTGAATGTGGGGTCCGGGAGGAGAGCGGATATAGTGAATGCGGGGTCCGGGGAGAGCGGATATAGTGAATGCGGGGTCCGGGGGGGAGAGCGGATATAGTGAATGCGGGGTGAATGCGGGGTCCGGGGAGAGCGGATATAGTGAATGCAGGGTCTGGGGAGAGCGGATATAGTGAATGAATGCAGGGGTCCGGGGAGAGCGGATATAGTGAATGCAGGGTCCGGGGAGACCGGATATAGTGAATGCGGGGCGGGGGTCCGGGTGAGAGAGGATATAGTGAATGCAGGGTCCGGGACCAGAGATATATTGAGAGCGGATATAGTGAATGCAGGGATCCGGGGGAGAGCGGATATAGTAATGCATGCGGGGTCTGGGGAGAGCGGATATAGTGAATGCAGGGTCCAGGGAGAGCGGATATAGTGAATGCAGGGTCCGGGGGAGAGCGGATATAGTGAATGCCGGGTCTGGGGAGAGCGGATATAGTGATATAATGTGGGGTCCGGGGAGAGCGGATATAGTAAATGCGGGGTCCTGGGGAGAGCGGATATAGTGAATGCAGGGTCCGGGGAGAGAGCGGATATAGTGAATGCAGGGGTCCGGGGAGAGCGGATATAGTGAATGCAAGGTCCGGGGGGAGAGCGGATATAGTGAATGCAGGGTCCTGGGGGAGAGCGGATATAGTGAATGCGGGGTCCGGGGAGACCGGATATAGTGAATGCGGGGTCGGGGGGGAGAGACCGATATAGTGAATGCAGGGTCCGGGGAGACCGATATAGTGAATGCGGGGTCCGGGGAGAGCGGATATAATGAATGCAGGGTCCTGGGGAGAGTGCGATATAGTAAATGCAGGGTCTGGGTGCAGAGGAATCCAGGGTCCGGGGAGAGCGGATATAGTAAATGCAGGGTCCGGGGAGAGCGGATATAGTGAATGCAGGGTCTGGGGAGAGCAGATATAATGAATGCAGGGTCCAGGGAGAGCGGATATAGTAAATGCAGGGTCCGGGGGAGACCGGATATAGTGAATGCGGGGTCCGGGGAGAGCGGATATAGTGAATGCAGGGTCCGGGGAGAGATCGGATATAGTAAATGTCCGGGGGGGTCTGGGGAGAGCGGATATAATGAATGCTGTGTCCGGGGAGAGCATGGCAGGGATTCTGACACTGAGGGGGGGGAGTGACTAACTGCCAATGACATCCCCAGTGACACCAATACAGTGATCAGTGCCTAATAAAAAGCATTGACACTGTACTAATGGCACTGGGCAAGAAGGGGGTTAACATGAGGGGCGATCAAAGGGTTAACTGTGTGCTGTGTGTGTGCTTTACGGTGTCAGCACATTGCTTTGTATGGTTCTGCATAGCAGAGCCATAGAAAGCAGTGTGCAGGAGCTGACGGGAGAGATCTGTATTGTTTACATACATGTTTCTCCCCTGTCCATGATACACGGCGATCGCCTGGTGCTGGCGGGAAATCACCAGCCGGGACCCGGTGATTGACAGGTGAGGCCGCCAATGGCGGTGCTGGTTGGTTATACACGCCCCTTACCTAGGACTGCAAAATCACGTGCATATATATGTGATTTGGCTCACCTGTGCCGCCCTGTAGAAGTATTTCTGCTATAGGGCGGCGCGCGGAAGCGTTTAAACCCAAAAACAAAAATATAATATGTTGTAGCTTACCAATCCTCTGATGTGGTGGCTGCATTCATTTTCTTTTTTTAGCCTTTTCTTCCCCTCTGTTTTCACCTGGTGATCTGGCCAGTAACACACCTCCTGTATTAGAACGCCCCACTCTAGATGAAGGAGTAACAGAGACACCTTTGGACAGCAGCATTGTCAGTCTGGGGATAGGGGAGTGTTAGATGGACTAGAACCACACTAACAAATTGAAGTCAAACTCCAGCTAACACTTTATAAACAGCAAACATTTTTATTTTCCTTATGGGATAAATCACATGAATAAATAAAATCCGATCATTGTAAGCACCCCTGTCAGTGGTAAATGGTTTGCCTCATCTCTGTAGCTGACACATTCTGCTGGAGAGCTTGTTCTTTTAAAAAACAACAGACTCAACTGGCCAGATCACCTGATGAAAATAGAAGAAAGCCTAAAAAAAAGGAAAACTAATGGAGCGATCGGATCGGTAAGCTGCAATATACAATATTACATTTTTGGTTTTGGATTTAATACAGCTTTACTTATGTGGCATAGGAAGATCTCACTGTTGGAGCATCTAAGACATAAAAGAAGCCAGGGGCTGATTCCCCCATAATAAAAATTGTTTTGGATAGGAGCGCACCCCTTAGAAAAGTATAAATAGGTTACATACTGTATTCCTATGTCATTTGAACCTTTATGAATATAATAGATTTTTATTGGTCTTTGAGGAATTGATTTGCACAAAGGAGGGAAGACAAGCCGTTGTCACGCCATTGCCATCTATCTTGCTTTTAAGAGCTGCGGCTGACCATAAAATGTGAGTTATTGGCAATTAAATGCAGCACCGATTAAAATACGGCCATTATTTGATAGCCTTTAGTTACGCCATCTGTAAATCTTTTATTGGCGATCTGAAGTCCGATCAACAAGTCCTCTATTCACACTGTGCAGAATGAGATCCGAAGAACAAATGTGAAGGAGTAGAATGGGGAGTGCTGTGTATCCGTGGTCAGCAATAATGCTGTGTGAGGCATGCGGGGAAACCTGCCAGGGATCCAACAATGTGGAGTCTGGAGCAGAACTCCAGTTTGGATGTTTTTCTACTTCTCTTTTCTGCAGGGGGTCCCGACTTTTTCTTTGTTTCCTGTGCATTATAGCTCCATGTTCTGCATGCGGGGCTCCCCTCCAGCAATAGGTCTCCAGCAATCGCCATGGTCAGCAATAATGCTGTGTGAGGCCGTGGAAAACCTGCCAGGGATCCAACAAAGTGAAAGTCTGGAGCAGAAACTCCAGTTTGGATGTTTTTCTACTTCTCTTTTCTGCATGGGGTCCTGACTTTTTCTTTCCTGTGCATTATAGCTCCATGTTCTGCATGCGGGGCTCCCCTCCAGCAATTGCCGTGGTCAGCAATAATGCCGTGCGAGGCCGGGGAAAACCTGCCAGGGATCCAACAATGTGGAGTCTGGAGCAGAACTCCAGTTTGGATGTTTTTCTACTTTCTTTTCTGCAGGGGGTCCTGACTTTTTCTTTCCTTAGCATTATAGCTCCATGTTCTGCATGCGGGGCTCCCCTCCAGCAATAGGTTTGTGAGAACTTCCAGATGAGTGACAGCTTCAGTAGGCACTTCCTGGTTCAGACCACTGGTAGGGCACATAGAAACCATACAAAAAGAGCAAAAGTACAGCATTGTACCTTTTTGTGAATTGGTGCCGAAACTGAACTGCATATTCCAGATGAGTTATTACTAATGATTTGTACCCTGTGGGGGGGGGGATGATATCTCTCTCTCTGGAGTCTATACCTCTCCTAATACGAGAGAAGATTTTGCTCACTCTAGAACCCGCAGCTTGGCAGTGCATTCCATTATTAAGCTTGTGGTCTACCAGAACCCCCAGATCCTTCTCCACCATTGATTCCCCCCCCAGATCCTTCTCCACCATTGATTCCCCCCCCCAGATCCTTCTCCACCATGGACCCCCCAGTTGTACCTCCCTAGTATGTATGATGCATGAATATTCTAAGCCCCCAAGTGCAGAACCTTACATTTATCAACATTAAACCTCATTGGCCCCATAGTCCCCCAATTACACAGAGCATTGAGGTCGGCTTGTAAGTTGGAGACATCCTGTAAGGACGTTATTCCACGCACAGCTTGGTGTCACCTGCAAAGACTGGAATGGGATTTATAATCCAAGACCCGATATTGTTTATAAATACATTAAAAAGAAAGGGTCCCAACACTGAACCTTGGGGTACACCACTAATAACAATGAACCTTGGGGTACCCCACTAATAACACTGAACCTTGGGGTACCCCACTAATAACACGTAACCTTGGGGTCCCCCACTAATAACACTGAACCTTGGGGTACCCCACTAATAACACGTAACCTTGGGGTCCCCACTAATAACACGTAACCTTGGGGTCCCCCACTAATAACACTGAACCTTGGGGTCCCCCACTGACACCCCAGACCCTTCAAAGTATGAATCATTAACCTCTACTCTCTGAATACCATATTTTAGCCAGTTTTCTATCCATTTACATACAGATTTTTCCAGCTTGTAGACTTTACCTTACACATTATTACGTGTGTGTGAGGAACTGTGTCAAACGCTCTTGCAAAATCCAAGTATACCACGTCCACCGCCACCCCTCTGTCCAAGTATACCATGTCTACCGCCCCCTATGTCCAAGTATACCACGACCACTGCCACCCCTCTGTCCAAGTATACCACGCCCAACGCCACCCTTCTGTCCAAGTATACCACGACCAACGCCACCACTCTGTCCAAGTATACCACATCCACCGCCACACCTCTGTCCAAGTATACCACATCCACCTACACCCCTCTGTCCAAGTATACCACATCCACCTCCACCACTCTGTCCAAATATACCACGTCCAGCACCACCACGCTGTCCAAATATACCACGTCCACTGCCACCACTCTGTCCAAGTTTACCACGTCTACTGCCACCCCTCTGTCCAAGTATACCACGACCACCACCACCCCTCTGTCGAAGTATACCACGTCCACCGCCACACCTTAGTCCAAGTATACCACGTCCACCGCCACACCTCTGTCCAAGTATACCACGGCCACACCTTAGTCCAAGTATACCACGTCCACCTCCATCCCCTGTCCAAGTCCAATATACACGTCCACCGCCACCCTTCTGTCCAAGTATACCACATCCACAGCCACCCCTCTGTCCAAGTATACCACGTCTACCGCCACCCCTCTGTGCAAGTATACCACGTTTACCGCCACCCTTCTATCCAAGTATACACGTCTTCCGCCACCCCTCTGTCCAAGTATACTACGTCTACCGCCCCCCTCTGTCCAAGTATACCACGACCACTGCCACCCCTCTGTCCAAGTATACCATGTCCAACGCCACCCCTCTGTCCAAGTATACCACCTCTACTGCCACCCCTGTGTCCAAGGATTTGCTCACCTCCAGATTTGTTTGACAACTTCTGTCTTTCATGAATCCATGCTGTCTGTTGCTTAAAATATTTTTTTCCAGCAATAACTCAATAACTTTTATTAAACTCCCCAGTATCTTCCCAGCTATAGAAGTTACACTAACAGGTCTATATTGTGAATGTTCAATATATATATAAAGAGCTTCATACATTGACGGCGCTATATAAGTACCTGTAATAAATAAAATAAATAAGTCACCGGTCGCGATTTAAAATCATGTGAATTGTGTGCGATTTCTGAAGATTTTATTGCGACTTGTGAAGATTTTTAATGATTTCTTGCGATATTGCTTTGCGATTTCCATTCTATTCTATCTAATTGAAATCGCAATAAACTGCAGAAAATATAATACAAGAACTAGAAATTGCATTGCAGCAAATCGCACGTGTTAAGATACTGATATTCACATTCATTAGATGCGATTTCAATTTGCAAATTGCACCGGTATGACTGGGCACTTAGGCCTGAAAAACACATCAAAAAGTGTAAAACAAACATAAACAGGCTTATATGTGTTTTTTTTTTAAAAAAATATTACACTATATCGTCACTATACTATTGTGCTAAAATTGTTCCAAAAGTATCTATAATTATAAATGTTGCAGACATGCATGTTACAGCTCCTGTCATTATTACTTTCTAAGCCCGTACTTGATTCAATATTCCAATGCCACATGCACAATCAACTTCAAATATAGATGATTTCCACAAAGTGCCACTCAACACTCCCCAATGCGCCACTTACTCATCGGATTATGTGACCTCTTAACCTACTACAAAGGTCTGGTTGAGTTTAATGATGTGTCTTCAATCCACTCCTTTTCCTGTGTAAACCTCCGGTTCTGTACGCTTAATCCACATCCTCGCTTAGGATCAGAACTACCATAAAAACACCAGAAAGTCTGCAATAGTGTTACATAGTTAGTCACATAGTTAGTCTGGCTGAAATGTGAAGTTTAGATACCTGTGTGTCTCTTGTTAAATGTAGA